GAGAAAAAGCAACGTAATCCGGAGGACACTCCGGAGGTAATCCGGGTAATCTGTAATCCGGCTGACACAAAGTTTAACAGTCGTTTCCCCCTCGGCGCGGGGGCACCATTCACAGACTGATATACCGTGTATCTATTTTGTTTAACGCTTTTGAACACAGGCCCTCGTAATAAAAGCAATATAGATTTACTTGTCTACCAGGTTGCCCTCATTCTTTCCGATGGAGCACCCGACGGGTTCGCCTCGACGTGCGCTCTATACCTTTTTGTATTTTTCGTACCGATGTGTATTGTTGGTCAGCAAATCGAGGACGCAAGTCGAACTGTGTCCGTCGCAGCCTACCGTGTAAGTATACACGTACAGTATGCTTTGGCAAGCACACTGTTAGTACCGAATCCCTTAACCCCTTGAGTCGAGGTGCGTATAAAGCATTCCGGTAAAGCTGAAATGCAGAAGACTGCAGGGAACAAGAAAACGGAAGTCCCATGTAAAAGCACAGTGATTTCCGTTTTCTTCTTCCTCGCATTCTTCTGCATTTTCGTTTTACCGGAATGCTTTATTGCCGTCCCGTCTCTTACGCGTGATGAGACGATCTGGCAAGTTTCTGACGGTGACGAGATTGCGCCCTGGGGAACTTTCGTCCAAGGCAAGGCATCGCAATGTGACGAGTTACCAGTATCGATGTAATGTAGAAAATTATAACAAATAGTTGAAATACAGTAGAAGCTTTTGGAACGAAAGCTCAAGATGACCCCTAAATATGAATTTGAGCCGAAAATTTTGTCGTGTCTTTCGATGTCACATTTAGACCTACAATTTCCCATAGTAGAATGAAAATCGGGAATTTACACATGGCGGGGTTCCCTTTAGCCTGTTAAAATAGTTTACAATATACGCACTAGAATCTAATGAATTTTTGTTTTTGTTAATAGCTTACTGAAATTGTGAGCGCTCAGCTTACGAATTTTAAAATACGCCAGTATGAAGAAAAATTTTCATACTGGCGTACTGCACGGTAAGTTGAGCGTTTTTACTGATTCCAGTTAGCTATGAACCACGGTGGAGGGAGAGACGGCGGGGGCACGAGGGTCTCCCAGCATAGGGATCCGTGGTTCCAGAATCTCGACAGGTTGGGGGATTAACGCCCGAGTCGGGGCTATCTAACGTGCCGGTACAGAGGACCTGCAGTCGGGGCGGCCCCGACATGGTCGTTAAACCCCCAAACTGTCGAGATTTTGGAACCACGAGCAGACCCCTCGTGCCCCCACCGTCTCTCCCTCGACCGTGCTATAAACAACGAGGTTGGTAAGAAAATATGAACACTCTTCTGTCTAGGGTCCTTGGTTGGAGGAAAACACGGCGACTCGCCGCCTCCGGCTCATCGTCATGGCGTCGCCACCGGCTCGGTTCAAAGTCGCAGGAGT